ACAGTGTAGGCTAGCGAAGCCCAAATTTAGATACTCCGAAAAGAGACGAAGTACGTATGATGTGATCAAATTCGGTTTCTGGATCCAGCTATCGAGAGTTAGGGCGAAGGCATCTTGCCTGGATGTTGTATGGAACTCACTGTGTCGAGGTAGGGCGCTATCCATTTACCATTTCGTTTATTTATAGGCGGCCATTCTGGTACAGGCCTGGTAGCCCTGGGGGCAGGACGCGGTAGACGTGGGGATGCATAGAGTTGGTCTTCATTGTCGGTACCGGGAGGTAGACCATTTGTCAGCACCAGTCTATAGTCGGTATTGGACTTCATAGTGATGAGAACCCCAGCTTGACGCGTAGTTTTGCTTGGACTTAGGGATCGTAGGCTTTTTTATGATTCTACGTCCTGCTGATGGACATTTCCTGGCGGAAGAAAGGGCTTGGTGGACTTGAAACAGTTATAATGATCATAGACTGGCTTCTGATCTTAGTAGTCGTCGGACTGCAATGGCAAGACTGATAATAGTCGCCAACACAAAGCCTGCATGAATTACTCGGCATTTAACTCCGACATAGGGCCAGGGAAATACTTCTATCGTTAGCCAAAGCTCGCAGGTGTATTGAAACCTAATTTGGGTGGCGGGAGTGTGATGCATCCTAGCAGCACCAAGTTGTATTCGAGCGATTTATCATCGTCCACTTAGAACCTCATTTTCGAGCACAAATTACGTAGGAGTCTTTGATGATCACGAATAATGAGGCGGTGGGCATTCCTGAAGGCCTACACTTGAGTGTACTGGCCTCACAGAAGCTTCCGGTAAAGAAAAGTCGAGAAGATATACGAGACACTTGTGTGGGAAGATTCAAGCGCAAACTAAGGAACCTTGAAAAGATGATCTGTGGCAAAAGGCGGTGAGATTTACATCAAAGGTATTCGTAGCAACCCAAGCTGAGGATGTCAACGGCGAAAGGCATCCCTGCCAAGTTCTCGAAATACAAGCCCATGACCTATAAAGCCTTTGGGTTGCTGCCGCATGTATGGTTTGTACCAGATGAAGACATCACTTTGAGTAAGCCGCATTCATCTGGCAATAGCTTCTTCTTATCCCCTCAACCCTCGCCACACACCGGTGCCATGTCTTTCGGCTCGCTCGACAAACGTCACACCACGATGCCTTTCTGTCGTCCCCCATACTCAAATGGACGCGACCACGCCGAAGACATTTCCATTCTTACAGCAGCCTACAGGGTTTCTGTCTCGTCAATTCGGAACCTTGTGCCGGAGTTTCTTCAACTGGCAGATGAACCTCTTATAACATCTCGACTGATCCGGTATGGGAAAAGCTCAGTCGGACCATATTCAGAGTTTGTTCAGCAGGTGGAGGTTTCATATCAGGGTGAAGTATTTGACTTCAACTTGATCCTGATCTTGGACAACGAGAAGGCTATCTTCCTCGGCCGTGAAAAATACGGATTTCCCAAAGTATTTGGAGACATTGACCTGCAATCACCCAATAAGGATCAGAGCGTCTCCGGAATAGCGGAGACCATGGACAAAAAGTCTCGAATTGAGTTTCGATTCATTCCAGCAGGGCCTCAAGATTGCCAGGCTCCGAAATCAACAAAACGGATGCTCAACTTGAGGTACATCCCTTCTCCCCTGCATGGGGAACCTCCTTCGCTTCGCGAGTTAATCCCGGTAACTATGGCGATGAAGTTCCCCGGCATTCGGGCAGGGAAATGTGACATAACATTTTCCAAATCATCACCGATCGACCCATGGACTCAGTTGCGCATCATCAAGCATGAGTACGCTTTTTATGGGGAGGGCGGGAAGGCGGAGCTCGAGGCACGTGAGAAGAGTAGTCTTTAATAATGCAGCCTGTGCTCGACTAAATACCAGTCACACGATAGCAACACAGTAGTTAGGGCGTCTAACATAGTTTACCCAATCATTTGCAAATTCACACGTCTTCTATATAGGGCACCTATGTTCTTGCTTACCTAGATCAAGGGACTATTTCCGATGATCTTAAGTCGCGATGTGATATCTTTCGCATTGCACTACTTCCATTGCCCGCCCGATGGCGGTGATCCACCTAGTGAAGGTCAAATGCCAATGCTAATCGGTTTATTTCTTTTTTGCGGTTGATAGGGATATGTCGGCACTCGTTAATGGTGGCGATATGTCTCAGTCGTTCAAGTAAAATGATTGGTCTGTTCGTATAGGCGCATTTCTTCGCCTGGGCATGGTGACATAGATGAAACAGTTTAACCCCTCGAAGTCTGCTCACGACACACAGTGAGTATCCACCGTTTCGAAGCTCAAGCTCGGATTCTGGTCAAATGATCCTCCACTCTAGGACCAGTATGCATGCTGCATCAACAGCGTAGGCAGAAATAGAGTTCGGATCGGGCCGGAGCAGGTTTTTTGAGGACAAGTTTCTTTTTCCGCTTCTTTACAACGAGACAATGAGTGACATGACGCAGCAGCTTTTGCAGCCCGCTATTCATACATGGGCGATGAACACTCTTGAAGCAGCCAGCCACTCCCCACCGATTAGCTATTACACCGAACCAGTACTTGTATCGTGCTGTGGATTCGAGCCGAAAGATATGTATGGAGAGAGTGCCTCACAGAAGTATTGTGCAATTTTCTTGAACACGCATTTCATTTCTCACTCTCACTCTCTCACCCATCGAATATGGACTGGCTCACCGAAACAACCACACGTTATACGCATGCACAAGCGCCGATTGAGCTGCAAGAAAAAGATGGCACCATATCAAACCTACTTCATATTTGCCAAACGTCTTTGCCACCTTGCAAATTGAACCCTCTTCTTTTCAATGGCCATCTTCAGACCTTTTGGACGACAGTCAACTCGAATGCTCCTCAAGTTCTCTATGAGAGGCGAATATTTACATCAGACAATCCAGACTACGGGGGAAGTTTTGCAGTGGACTTCGCTACAAGCACCTGTCCTGGGTCGGACGACAAATATCCTTTCAGAGCAACATCCTTACACGGCGAAGAAATGGATACCCTTGGCTCCTCGGATGCCAAGCCGCAGCTCATCGTGCTCCATGGCCTTACGGGTGGGTCGCACGAGGCATATGTCCGGCACTCCATAGCTCCTTTAGTCGAAAGCGGGATGTGGGGTGTTTGTGTTGTCAATTCACGAGGCTGCGCCCGAAGTAAACTTACGAGCGGTGTTCTGTACAATGCCAGGGCTACATGGGACATACGACAGGTTGTGACATGGATTAGATTACGGTTTCCTAACAGGCGAATTTTTGGTCTAGGCTTTTCTTTAGGTGCCAACATACTCACCAATGTAAGAAGCCCTCCTGCTTCAACATCCGTGTTTGCTGACGCAATGTCAGTACTGCGGTGAAGAAGGGCCAGGCTGCCATTTGACTGCCGCTGTCGTTTGCTCCAACCCCTTCAACTTGGAGGCTGTGAGTAGGGCTCTTTTACGTACTGTTGTGGGAAGACATGTCTATCTTCGGACACTGGGGGGTAATTTGTTCAAGTCCTGGACTATGATGCCATGCTAACGAAGAATGACGGTAGACATCGTTAAAGAATACGCCCGCGAGAACTCCGAGGAAATCGAGGCTCACACTCAGTTAAACCTTGATGCTATCTTGTCTGTTACGACCCTGACGGAATTTGATAAGGAAGTTCATTGCCAAACATGGGGATATCCAACCGTATTCTCATATTACCGCGATGCATCCTCAAGCGACGCTGTGCTGGCCATCAGGATCCCATTTCTTGCGCTACACGCAGCTGATGATCCGGTATGTTTTATCCAAGCCTATGCTTGCGTGTACTAGAGTATCTGATCGCGATTGTCTCAAGATAGCAGTCGATGAAGCGATTCCGTATGAAGAATTTCAGTGTAACCCTTACACAATTCTGTGTACAACTTCCCGCGGTGGCCACCTAGGATGGTTCGGTTCGCGAGGCGAGCGATGGTATGCTAAAGCGGTAAATGGCTTCTTGAATCGTATGGCTTTCGGTGTCAACACAATAGATCAGGACAGCGTTGGAAGATGCGGCGATGATATTAAGCGGTTTGATCCATTGCGGAGGAAGATGGAGTAAAGCTTCAGATCGATGGCGACGTTGCAAATCCGCTCGCTTCCTACAAGGCCCAGCTGAATGGAATATATGAAGTACCTCAAACCTCTTCCTTAGTTATGCCTATCCAAAGATATGATGATGAGTTTCCTAATTTCCATGCCCTACGATGAAAGAATGCCAACGTTTCCGCCTTGGCTGATGCTGTGGAAAAGGCACACAGGGGGCTACGATGGGGTGTTCTTCCTGGCAGCTTCGCCGATCTTCCAGCAGATGGAGTAGTTCAGCGGGCGTAAGTGAATCCCCGCCGGTAGACTTGAACCACTCCCCGACGAGTAACCCCTGCCGCCGTTGATGATAGGCGGACACACCTGGCTCGGTATCGAAATAGCTGGACAACGCGGACACGCGTATGCGACATAAGATGAATCATCTAGACTTGTGCGCTGGTATGCCATTCAGTCTAGCAAACCAACCATCACTCGCGATAATTCACATGATAATAGAGAATAAGTATGGGGTCCGACACATAAACAACAGGCACCCCGTTTCAGTCCATCGTCGCTGGTGGCGAAGCAGGCGGAGTTGACGCGTTGGTAACCGCAAGTTCTCAAACATCTTCATGGTCAAGATTGATTGTGGGCCTCACTTGAAACCTCGAAAGCAGCTGAAGATATCAGCCGAGTCCCTTATGAATATCCTCGTCAAGACGGTGGAAAAGTCACGATTCAGCAGTCTGTACCCAGGCGCAGTGGCGTGTAGTATATCGAACTCATCCGGATCCGATTCTGCTTCTTGAAGTCTGATCTTGTAAAAACATGCTACTCACCATAAAGGGAACAGGCCATCCAAGCAAATAAGCGAGTAACAGTCAGCACAACAGCGGGCTCTCTAGAGAGCGTAACGGTGGTAACGCTAGGGGACAATTTCCAAGACGAAGTTCATATAGGGCTGCCTAGAACGAAACTGCGATCTAGGTTGTCCCTAGTTAACTGGCGACTGGCGATGTCGGCGGACTTTCCCGCGGCGTGTCTCTCGGTGACAATGAAGCAAAGTTCCGATGATTTCGTCAGGCTCACGAGCTTGAACGCGCTACCTGTTGTTGTGGGGCCGCCAAAGACCAGTTCGAGTTCGACTCGGATTGCGCATGATGTCGCTGGTGTTGCGGCGGGAGTGGTCCCCGTATACGTCATGATGCAGTCTGTTGTTTTGAAACATAAGATACAGGCGATGATTGATCCTGGGTCAACAACCTCTGAATCCAGCCTAGTCTTATGTGAGAGTGGTGCACAAGGGTGTTGTTGTTGTGGGCACAAACCCTAGCTTGTTCGACTTATTCGTGCGAGGGCACTCTGGCATCCAAGCTTCAGCATCTTCGGACAGGCGACACAGTGGCTGCGATCATGGCCGGAAGTTAGCAACCATTTGATGGTGAGGGAGAAGTCCTCTGCCATTGGAAGCATGGATTTACTGAACAAACCAAGATACACGTGAGTACCAAAGTCCACTAAATCAATGCTTTACAGCGCACATTTCACAACGCACCACAACAAAAAACCGGCCGAACAATCGATCAGGTACAAATTAGTCAACAACTCATGCACGTTTGGTTCGCTCCTCAAGCTTATGCCGCACTAGTAACTATTCCTTCTTTGAACGAAGTAGGAGCCATGATTTCGACCTGAATTTCTCACCCTACTAGAATCTTTGGATTGCAGTTTTGCCCGGAAGTCAGAGGCCGTAGTGGCGCGGGTTCAGCCGCCAAGAAGGTTCGCTGATTCCCAAGAATCAAGGTAAGCCGGCCGGCAGCAGCTCACACCTGACAGCAGCGTCCGTCATATGAACCCTCTCGAGCCTGGGTGTGTTACAGTCCCAAAGGCGACCTCCGGGTTTAACCTGGCAATATTTTCTTTGCTGACAAGGATAAAGTTGTCGCGGCTCCCCCTCCTTGACTCAACAGAAGATTGGTAGCATGCAGTTCCGCGAGTAGCCGGTGAAGGCACACGTAGATTTTCTGATCGTTGGGTGGGAGGAACCAGATTTTGCTCAAGGCTCTGTTAAGGGAGCTGGAAGGCATTCCGGCTGCCTGGCTTGATGACTGGCCCCGAAACGCATCTTTTTTACAATGTATGCCATGCAGGCACCCTCGAGAAATTGGGTTCTTTAAAGTAGGCCAACTTGGGTTTAGCTAAGTAGATTGAAGTTCCCCGCATCATACGTTAGTCGACCCCAACTTCACGGGTGCATCTCGTTGGCGGAAACACTCATTCGAGATCCTCCGTGCGCCTCCCCGCAAAATTCAAACTGCCGGCCGGTAGCATCTTGCCGTACCCAGAACTTTCGAAAACGCAGTGCAGGCGGAATGGCAAGCGGAAGATGCCTCAGAGTTGTCCTTTGGAGTCCATCGATTCAAAGTAGCGCGGAACTTGTGCTTTGCTCTTAATATAAAGGTAGCAGCTTTAGCATCAGTTCGAATCTGTGCTTCCTGCGCTGGACTTTTCAGGCTTCTTTTACTATCATCTATTAAACATGCATTTCATACGTTTGTTTCTCCTGGGCACTGGTCTCGGTGTATCAGCGCTCAGCTGCGTCAAGTCACCCTCTCGAACCAAACCTCCGCCAGGAGCGATTGTTGTTGACGCCTCGAAGCAGTACCCCGACAGCTATCCCACCGTAGGGCAGGCTATCGCTGCAATCGAGAACACGACAGCCGAGCATGTCGTTTTCCTTATGCCCGGTATTTACTCCGAGCAGGTGTACATTCCCTCACTTGCCGGTCCACTCAAGCTTCAAGGCTATACAAAAGACTCCCGATCATACTTCGACAACGAGGTTACCATCACGTGCAACCTCTCTCGGCAGACGCCTGGATTGACAAACAACGATCAAACATCCACTGTCCGGCTTTGGACCTCAGATGTCAAGGTCTACAATCTCAATATTGCCAACACCTTTGGACAAGCAGCCACGGGCGGGCAAGCACTGGCTTTAAGCGCACAGAAGACAAACCAGGGTTTCTATGGGTGCAGCTTCACCGGGTTTCAAGACACAATATACGCCAATGAGGGTCGGCAAATCTACGCCAACTCATACATCAATGGCGCCGTCGACTTCGTGTTTGGTTTGCGAGCTTCGGCATGGTTCGAGAATTGTGACATAGAAACTATAGGGCCGGGTTTCATCACAGCAAATGGAAGAGAGTCGGAAGAGAACAAGTCTTTCTACGTGTTCAACCATGCCAACATCACTGGCACGAGCGGTGAGGGGTCAACTGTTTTGGGAAGGCCATGGAGGCCGTTCTCCAGGGTCGTTTTCCAGAACAGCTGGCTCGGCAACGTTGTCAAAGCGGCAGGCTGGTCGGCATGGGATGCGACACAGAGCGTTGCCAATATCTTTTACCGGGAATACGTCAACACAGGGCCAGGCGCAATCGGACCGCGTGTTGAGTTTGCAGGCTCATTGGATGCACCAGTGCAGCCTGTAACCATTCTCGGACACGGGTTTGAGACTGAGTGGTGGGTTGACACCACATACTTGTGAGATGCACGAACTATTTCAGTGTAGAAGCATTGTATCTAAGGATGATTATGGTACTACATCGGCACTCTGGCTGCCGTTTTTCGCCAGAACTCACACCTCTTGCCAAGATGCTCAAGCTTGGCTGTGCTTAGTCCACTGTCCTTGATAACCCATTCGCTACCGGTGTCGAGCGCAGGAACCCCGGCAATGTCGGGAGGCGACAGTTTGAGAGCATTCGGGTCACCCGTCATGAAGAAGGATGCGAAAGCGCCTGTTTTTCCCCCATAAGCTTATGGTCAATGCTCTGCGAGTGAATGTGAACGTACCTGTGTAAGCTTGATACCTGGCAGGATCCGACCGCTGAATAGCGTTTATCTGATTCCACTGCGACACATCAGTATTGTGTTTGTCAACATTTTTAAACTACTTACCCAAACTGTGTCACTCGCATGCTTTGATGGGCTCATTGAATACTCGCCAAGCCAGCCGCCATCCTTTGCAGATCCAGAGAACCAATAGGCAGGGCAGGTGAGGACGACATCTCGGTAGATCTGACCGGCACGGACGTACGTTGTGCTGTACTCGATGGTCTCCGTTGTGCCTTCTGCTGGGTAGTGTCTCTTCACAGCCTCGATTTCGCACGTCTTGAACCCAGGTAGAAATCCGCGGAGCCATGTATCAAAGGACTCGGCGCTTGAATTGTAAGGAGGCGACCCGGCATCCGTTGCACCTTGGAAACCGGGAGGGATGAAGTTCTCGCCTTCTTGGGTGTTATGCATGGCAAAAGCCAGATTCATGTTAACATGACCCTTGGCTGTGGCCTGCGAAAGCGGTTCGCGCAAGAAATCACCATCAATGACAGGACCCCACGTAAAAGTTGACGTGTTGTACTGTTGCGAGGTCGACAGGAAACGGCTTGCGTCGCGGATGGTCTGGACGTCAGCCTTCTTGAGACATGCGAGACTGTTAGGTCCTGCACATCCAGTTCTCGCAGCCAGCTCATCGTAGAGGTCCTGTGCTTCGTTGCTGTCGTGCTTGTATGTTTTGGGCCAGAAAGGACTGCTAGCCATGGCCTTATGGAAGAGTTTTTGCTTTCCCCCGCGCCCAAGTGCCTGTGCCAGAACACTTCCACCACCAGCTGACTGTCCCCAGACTGTCACATTGTCGGGATTGCCGCCAAATTGGGCAATGTATTTCTTCGTCCACTTGAGCACAGCTTCCTGGTCTAGAAGACCCGGATTGAGATCCGATAGGGGGTCCTCCGCAACCTCCCTGCCAGGAAGGAATCCAAATGCGTTTGTGCGATAGTTGGGGTAGATAAACAACATGTCGGACGATGTCGACACATTGAGAATAGGGTACGCAGAAGGTGGGATGTTAAAAGAGGCTGAGCCCTGAATAAACCCACCACCGTAGAATGTTACCACGACTGGCTTCAGGGGTTGATCGCGAGTCCAGGGCCGTGAGTAGAGTCCCAGGTAGAGGCAATCCTCTGAACCGTTGACCTATTCAAGTCAGCTCCGGAAGCACACATGTAAAGATGTCACAATACGTACGGTGCGCTGCGGGCACATATCAAATGGTCGACTAGAATCATACGGGTCCTCTAGAACTGGTAGAGGAGGCTGCGGGCCGCGGAATCTGTTCTCGCCGACAGGAGGCGCTGCGAAAGGAATCCTCTGCCAGTACGAAATGTTGTACCTCTCTGAGTAAGCTCCCTTGAATGTTCCGTAGTCAAGGCTAGCAAGGAGCTGTGGCGACTGGGCTTGTTGCCCCTGTGCACCGTGGCACGCGAGCAAAACGGAAATCGTATATACAAGAAAGGACAACATTGTCATTTGCGATGTACTGGCCTGCGAAGTCGAGGAAGCCCTTCGCAACGGGCAGCAAAATGGCGCCGTTATATGCTGCCCAGGCTAAGGACCACGCAGTCCCCCTTTGTTAAGATCCGACCATCCGGATCCTTAATCATCTTCGTCTCTTCGGCACCATCGATCGCCGACCCCAGGTTTAGTCTTGTGGGGGAGCCACCTTGGCCGTCCAACCACTGGGTGAATGCGGGGTAGCTGTTCCTGGGGACATGGGGTAAGGGTATGCTGTTCGGTCCATCACCTCCCGAGCATCCATGACGACAATTTCCCGTCCCAAACGTGGCTTAAAGTGGTGAAGAGCCTCGGTTCGAGACGAACACTCCGTGTGGAAACAGAGGCCGAGGAGTTCTTTCAGAAGCAGTATAACATATGGAAGGTTACACAGCCATGCATTGTAAGGTGACCTGTTTCAGGCCGGCAACCGCATGAAGGCTCTTTTCGGAAACTCGATGAGCCGTTGAAAGAAGTGGTAAACATCGCGGGTTGATCAATAAGGACAGATGTCTTCGGCAACTGAGTGTCGGAAATATCGAACGCAGGCCGCGAGGGTAGCGACTGGGTTCCAAGAGCTGATAAGCCTCACTCGCTCGTGTTTCAGGGGTTATCCCACAGGGCAGGAAAGTGCCTGGAACTCAGCTACGGGAGGTGCTGAGCACGTGGGCCACCTGGCCCCAGGTGAATGACACTGACAAGGTGAAAGCCAGCGACTGACAGCTTGCAGAGAGCGGCTAGATGAGCGACCGGAGGCTTGACAGTCCGGGACAGGGCGTCGCTCATATTGGACACTGTTCTACGCGAGGAATGAAATCCCTCAAGCTAGACTATCAGTCAATGCACGGCTCGAACTACCCTTGGAAAACTCTGACCATAGGAACGTAGGCGGGCCAATGAGATTTTAGACCCTGATGTACTCTGTCAGTCAGAACAGGGTACTCTTTGTGGGGCCTTTTAGATGGGTTTTCCGCCTCTGGCACCCAACATTCGGGCCCAGCCGAGTGGTCAAGATGCGAGCACGCCGAACGCCACGCCATGTGTTCGCGGAGATTTGTTCTTTGGACCTGTTTGCTCCCTTGTATGAGCTCCCGCCTCTTTACTCATGCTGATACCTCAGAAGAAGTTCCGTGGTCGGGGGTGTGTCACCTAGTGCAATATCGCGACTCAGAAACCCTCACCTTGAATCATGCATCTGGCCTGATGTATGATGGAGTCCTTACCCTGGTCATCCCGAATAAGCTTTCAAAAGTGTCTATCTATCCGTATTCTAGACCCTGAATGTCACCACGTCTACCGGCTCCGCAAAGCTTTGCCTCGAATCAGCATGCTCGAGACCAACAAGGTCCATGGCGACCATCCTCTTTGCTTAGCTAGCGGCCTGCTTAGTCGTGCTCCCGTCATCGGGACGTTGATCTGATAAGATGAGATGGACCCAATCTTAGTCCATGCCAGCTTTCCTTAAAAGGACGGAGTACCTGCGGTTGTGAGAGACGTCGAGCCGAGCACAATCATCAGCTTCCATCTAACTGGCAAAATGGCTTCTGTCGGTCAAAAGATCCGGAGTGCGTGGGATGAGACACTTGACCATGGCAAGTAGCAACAGAGCTGACTTTGGGCAAGACTTTTTCCTGGGTGACACCACGGACAGTAAAGAAGAGAGGCGACTCGTCAGGAAGCTAGGTGAATGCTAAGGCCACCAACACAACTCCAAAGCTAACAGCATGTGCTAGACTTCTTTATTATGGTACGGCCTGCGGTTGTCTAGGCAGATTTGTTCGCTAATCCCTCACAGACTTACTGCTGTCTAAGTTACTTCTTTAATTACCTCGGTTAGTGACTACTTTGCATGGAGCCGAAGCACCAGCTTACAATGGGGAAGACCGAGCAGCGTTTGCGAATGCCTATGTAAGCCCAAATTGGTGTCGCCGCAATCAGCCTTGCCTGATATTCGGATAGGTTGCCGGCCTCCGCGAAGCCCTTGACATGCGCGGCATTGATTATAACAAGGTCCTTTCTCTGACCACTGCTGGGTATGAAAATGGCGAACCTTGTCCCAGGTACAAGCGCGGCTGACCCTGGAGAAGAATGGCTGTCGGGCAACTTCCTCATGGTATCATAATACAAAAGGTGGCGCCAAGGATATGGTTCCCTTCCATGGTTGTCGTCTGGGCTGGCTTGACGGTATGGTTTTGATTGGCAAAATACTGGCGTATTGGTGACTAATGAATGAAGATGGCCAGCGCAGCTGTGAAAACCGTGACCCAGCTTTGCGTCATTCGTTTCTTTCTTGGCTTGGCTGAGGGAAGCACGTATGCGGGCACCATCTACATCATCGGGGCCTGGTATAAGCCTGAAGAAATCGCCAAGCGAACTGCTCTGTTCACTGCATCAGGCCAGGTAGGCACCATGTTTGCAGGTGTCATGATGGCCGCTATCCACAGGGGTATGAAAGGGCTTGGTGGCCTTGGAGGTTGGCAATGGGTGTTCTTGATCGGTAAGCAGGACGGTTGCACCACAATTTATAAAGACGCTGACAAGCCTCAAAGACGGTATCATCACACTGCCAATTGCAGTGTTTGGCTTCATGTACTTCCCTGATACTCCGGGAAAGACCAAAGCCAACTACATCTCCGAAAAAGAAAAACAGCTAGCCGTTGCAAGATTACCACCCATCAAGGAGGACGGGCACAACATCCATCCCGTCTCTCTCTTCAAGCGTGTATTCGCAAACCCTATCTTGTAGGACCCGATCTCATCAAGGATATGTCGTACAAGCTGACCCTATCACAGCTGGGTTTTGTTCTTCTGGTCTCCAGTGTGCGCCAGTATAGAGGGGTTCCCTTTCCAGAACACCTTTTTGTTATGGCTGAAGTACCATGACGATTCTTTCACGCAGACTCAGATCAACACATATCCCCTGGGCGTCCAGGCTGTTGGCATCGTGTCGAATATGCTTGCGGCCTGGCACATGGACGCCACTGGCCAGCGCATTCCGATGGCTATTCTTGCGTCTCTTTTGCAGGTCATCGTCGGAGCCATGCTGCTCGTCCCATCGTTGCCTTTTGGAGCTACCTTTTTTGCCTACTACCTCGCCGGATCAGCCTATATGGTCAATCCCCTGATCTTTGGTTGGGCCAGTATCATTCTGCAGAGGAGCGGCGACGACGCCATGCGCAGCGTTACGATTTACTCTATGAACATTGGTTCAATGGTTTTATGGACATTCTGGGGCATCGTATTCTACTCAGCTGCCGATGCGCCATACTGGAAGAAGGGTTGCATCTCCTTGCTCTGCTGTTGCGGTGTCATGCTTGCATATATGTGGGCAGTCTTCAAGGTATGATACAGAAATGAGAAATTAACGTGATGAGTGCTTACGAAGCTTCAGGTGGACAAATTCACAGCGAAGAAATACGCTGACCGCATGGTTCCCGCAAAGGCTGGGGAGAAGGACTCAAACGCGACTTTTCCAGAAGGCAATGAGAAGCACGCACAGCAGAATGTCCAGGAGAAGCAAATCTGAATGCTGGACTCTTACAATGCCTATTTGGTACGCAGACTTGCGCTCAAGGTTTGGAGACCCTTACTTTTGGACAGAGCAACAAGCGCCAGTGTGACGTTCTAATTTCAGGGGAGACACGAAGACGCTGGGAGTTCATCGCGCCAGCAGAGGCAGAAATATGAGGGCTCAGCATTGTTGCCGAAGAATAAGCCGAGTATCAAGAGAAACACGAAACTTTCATGGGATGACGGACGAAAAGCAAATGGAACACAATATTTATCATTAAACCTTGCACCTAACACTCGTCAATTTACACCTGACGGCGACCTGCTTAACCATCGCCTTAATTCAAGCAAAAGGCACCAGCAATGCCGCGAAAAATCTGCCAGAAACTGTCTATTGAGGACGGCTTGCTCTTCTGTGGCTTCATTACAATGCCAATGTACATAGAACTAGAAACAAAACATGTGCAAATACCAGCGATTCCCATTGAAATTTCAAGCAGCTTCAAAGCAGCCATTCTCCAAGACATTTGCAAACAGATTGCAACGAGAAGTAGGTAATTTGGGCACTTCGTGACTCTTACCTCGGCAGTGATTTTCAATCACATCAAATCTTACGCACTGCTTCGCGCAGATTCATTGCACAGTCTATTAGTGAGAAAAAACCACATTACACTGCCAGGCGAGCTCAGTTGAACGGGTGTGTTAATCATGATGTTTTGGATATTTTTACCACCACCAGTCAACGATCTCTTTACCGGCTGCGAGATGCCGCTAACTTTGAGCCGACAAGCACATGACCGCTTTCCTTGGTTTTCCCACCCTTTATCCAAGAGATCCTGTCGCGGGGCTAGATCTGAGCATCGCCTTAATGGCCCGGGGCCTGTCATGTCCGCCGCCCGATGGCAAACCTCTCCCGATCGATGACGAAATGCTACAGCGCAAGATGCAGCGCAGCAGCCCCGGGACTTGTTTGCACTAGTGAGAGCTGAAATGGGCCTTACATGTGGGTCTTTTCCAGTGCAGCGCCCTGATTGGCGTAGGATGGTTTCCCTGTAGTCATGGTCGTCTCACCTCGGTGCTACGGGACATTTCTGGCGCACGCGAAGTACATGTATGCCTCAGAGCAGAGTTTAGAAGCAAAATTCCGCAAGTGGGATCTCGAGCGGCGTCAAGGCATGCGACGCTTGCCCAGAACAGGCAGGTCGGATGTCTGAGACGTGCAGATCGCGGTCATGGACGGGCCGCTATAGGCTAACACGAGAGGCAGAACTCGTCTGTCTCCGCCGTGCTTGCATTGGCTGCGATGGGAAAGCCCAGGTGGCCAAGGCAGCCTTGGTGTCCTGGGCTTAGACTATGCCATACGACAGTGGGAAACGCGCTGCACCAGTATCTTACAGCCATGGCAATCCAATGGTCAACGACAAGAAGCGACAAGAAAGGATCAAGTTGCCAATGGCGCCACCCGCGAAACTCATGAGCTTGTCTGGACGTACGCTGTCTTGTCGTATGTCCGGCAGTCAGGATCCCTCCGTGTTGTTGCTGATGCTCACATCCTTTCCCCAAGCCCTGCGTCATTATCCATAGATTGCAACCCGCTTCTTGCTTCCTGGGTGCTTTACGTACGCACACGAGCACATGATAACCTCCAGGCTTCAAGCGGGGCAAGATGGGTCGTGCGACTCGTAACGCCTCTGACGACACTGTACGATGCAGGTTTGTGCTGTGTGTGGGGGAGCCAGGATGTGGGCGGTGCGATCCTCCTCCGTTGGAATTTACACTCCTGCAACTGGTTGCCTCCCTGTCTCTTCATTACACTAGGAGAGCGAACCGGGGGGTCGGCGACCCTGGCCTCATTAAGCTAACGGCTGAAAGGACTTTCGCTGCCTCCAGCATCGACAAGCCTCGTGTTGGCGATGTACCCTTGTCAAACGCCAAGAAAGCTGGTCGTGTGCTTGCTGGCGCGCTATCAAGATGCTTCCGCGGTCGCAACCCGCCGAAAGGCGATGCCCACATTATGGCTCATTGTCTTGCAACATGGGCATTTGGGCTGGCCCACCCGAGGGAGCAGAGACTTTTACCTAGGCTGAGCGAACTGGAAGCGACTCTATCTTAACGCGTGGTGAGGTGACACATGGTGGCAACGTCGAGGCCAGAACTGCTCACGTGGTAATCAAGCCGCATGAGCTGATCAGACTGGCTCGATAGAGGCAACAAAAGAAACCGGGGGAGGGGGCGGGTAGACCGACACGGGTGCCGTGACGCTGCGAACATGGATACAATCCCGATCAAGTGACCGGCGGCTAGGTATGATTGATACCGACCGACCGGCAGTTCGCCAGAGACTGCCTTGCCTGCCTTGCCGGCCTTGCCTGCCTTGCCGGCCTTTCTGCCTGCAATCTCTTGCGTCCTACTGTACTATTGTTCTGGGCGTAATCTGCGTCGAATCCTGACGTGTGGTGGCAGGTGGGTATCACTGCGCCGCTTTCTATTGGTGTCACTCAGGACTGTCATTCGAGGGCCAGCAGCAAGTGAAAGCTTAGGACGCGTGCGGCCAGGCTGCCCCACGTCTTGAGCAGCCCTGAAAGATTCATTTAACAAAGAAAGAAACACAGGGCTTGGGCTGCGTGGGGAATAGACCCTTATCCCCCATCTACCTCCGCTACGTCTATGCGTGTACTGCCAATGTAATGTCTCCAGGCGTCCATGTCGACGACTGAGTCTGGAGGCAGGGCAAGTATTCGACGGGGTGCGCGACACTTGGCGCACCATACCATATGCAGTCTGGATGCAGAGTTTTCCCCCCTTTGGGACCAAGATCCAATCCATCCAGTCAGGCCAGCCCAGGCTAGTAATCAGTCCGGTCAATTGGAATCCAGCTTCAGTGCCAACCCCCAGGGGCCCCCATGGTGGACCGATGGGGTCACTTAGCTTGGGCCTCAGCTCCACGCGGACCAACGTACCATGGACGGCCAAGAAGACCGACCCACGGCTTACAGTGGACGAAGAGAAGGTAGCAGGCCCTGAGACCTCCCTCGGGCGACCTCTTCAGGGGGCCGACCGGGTGGGTACTTGGCCACCACCGGCGCCGTGCCGAGTCCCGTTTTTTCTTGACGTCCACCATAGAGATGCCCATGTTGCTTGTCGCTGTCGCTGTAGCTGAAGAGTAGGCGGGAAGCAGTACGTCGTACGTCGTGCTGCGGATCGGATCCTGGCAACCTGGCAGACGAGAAATGCTGATCAGGGTTGTATTTGTCTCTCAACCGTCTCCCTGTGTACATAATGTCGCACCCATCCCCCCAGCCGAAGTGCACGCGGCCGTGTCGCAGTTCATTATTCTTCTCTTGCTCGCATTCCTGAGTCTGAGACCCGAACCGCACGCAGCTTCCATTTGCGCGCGTCGGCTCATTAACCATCCCTCGTGCGATTTGATCGTCCTCTTTTGTCCTGTTTTAATACAGCATACCTTGTCTTCCTTCTCCATCATCTACCCTCATCAATAGCAGCATCTCCTGCCCACCATGGCGGCACCACCCAAAGATTTCGACACTGGGCCACAGCCCCTTGGGGCTACCCAAGAGAAAGGCCAGTCCCTGCGCGCTAACAGCAGCGACGGTGAGCTTCGCGAGGGCGTTATTGAGCGCGACAACGCCGACCAGCTCCAGCGACATCTCGGCAATCGTCAGATCCAGCTGATCGCGATTGGCGGCTCCATCGGTACTGCCCTCTTCGTCAGCATCGGCACTGGTCTCCAGCGCGGCGGGCCAGCTTCTCTCTTCCTCGGTTACCTCACTCAGTCCATTGTGCTCGCATGCGTCAGCAACGGCTTGGCCGAGATGTGTGTCTACATGCCCATCTCTGGCGCCTTCATCCGCTTCGCCGGCAAGTGGGTGGACGAAGCTTGGGGATTCATGGCTGGTTGGAACTTTTTCTTCTATGAAGCCTTCCTGATCCCCTTTGAGATTGCGGCCCTGAACCTAGTGCTCGGCTTTTGGCGTGACGATATTCCTGAAGCTGCTGTGTGTGTTGGATGCATCGTGTTGTACGCCTTGCTCAATGTCGTCGCCGTCAAGTACTTTGGGTAAGTCTCAGTGGCAGGAGAGACGACGAAGCAGAGCGTCCATGAACCCCGATGAAAGACGGGCCTCGAACGCCGCAAGACCCTCCCCGTATACAATGCTGACGACGTCT